AGGAATAAATGCGTGTATAAGTTTAGAATAAATAGGTAAAAAAAGATATATATTTTGCATAACTTACTTGGTATTGGAACATCATACGCATATATTCACAAAACCGGGAACAGAAACCTTTAGCATGATATTTATATGATTCTATTTTTTCTTGTATAGCTTTCATCTCTTGTAAAGCTAAAAATAGACAAGACGGATGCTTTAACAATTGACTAAATATGAACCGAGTTAAAATATTGACATACATTTATCAAACGGTGTTTCTATTGCAAGTTTTAATTGCTCAGCTGCTTGCTCAATGTTCTGAACACCTTGAGGAGTGTCCATCGATTCTTGACGGAGGATTTTAATCACATGGTCAGGAATACTGATGGTTTGCTAAAAAGAAGCCAATTAGCGATGGTTAATTAAAAAGAAACCAATCAGAGACATTTACAAATTACAATCGGATAATCCGATTTTATAACTCACTATAAGTCGATCAAGTTCAGATAGCAAGGCTTTTTGATTAGCCGTTTGAACTTGTAGACCTCGGTTTTGAGATTCAATGTGATGTATATCCTCATCTCCCATAGACTTAAAAATTATTAAAATTAAAAAACTTCAATAAGTATGCTTTCAAGCAACAATAAACAATAAACATAAAATTACATACGTTTAATTCGGCAGTATATAAAGAAAGCCATTGATCCATATTATCCAACTCATTAATTGCTTTGTCAATTTGTTCAATAACCGAGTTAACCCTATCATCCGATTCCACCATGGCATGAATATTGGCCTGGATCACAATTAATTGAATGTCATAATGAAACAAAGCTAAACAACAATAAATAAAATACAAATACTTACAGCTTCCAATGCAGCAAGTTCATTCAATAACCTCTCTTCTAAAGCAGCAGCGTTACCACTCCCTTTCCAGTCAAAATCATTAAGTAACTCAGAAACATTTATTAATGATATCTCTTCTTGCTTAACATCTTCTGTTATAATAATAAAGTATGTGAAATGAATGCACAAACAATAAAATAATTAAGAAAGAGATAATATATATATATATATATATGTATATGTATGTATGTATATAATGAAGAATACCATCATCTTCAGCATTGTATTGCACCACACCATTAGAATCGTTTTTAGGACCACCTAATTGTAAAGTTCTGTCATTTTTTTGTTCAGGACTTTTAAAACTTGAAGTCGATTTGTTCGCATCGGCCAGATGTCCTGGCAATGGACTCTCAGTGTCAAATGGGGAGCCAAGAGTAGGCTGTACCTTCGTTTCTAGTTAATAACGTAC